GATTGGCTGCCGCGGTTGGGCCACCGAGTCCCTATTGGTGGTGACGGAGGCGGGGCTGCTGCGTCCAGCTCTGGCCTGGAGATTTATCGGATTTACAATTGAACTGGATTTAGGATTTCCTTGTTTACTTTTAAACAATTTTTTATTGATTTCAGAGAGGAAGGGAGAGAGAGAGAGAGAGAGAGAAACATCACGGATGAGAGAATCATCCATCTGCTGCCTCCTGCACGCCCCCTTCTGGGGATAGAACCATGACCTCCTGGTTCATAGGTTGACGCTCAAGCACTAAGCCATGCCGGCTGGGCTAGGATTTTTTTTTTAAGGGATGTAAAAATTGCTTGGGGAACTAGTTTGCTGACTATTTTAAGTGCTGCTATTTGTGTACCTGTGTAGTATTGTTTGGTTCTTTTTGCCCTACAAAACAAAACAAAGAAACTGGATTACTCGTTTTATTTACCTTGAATAATTTTGGCTATTTAGGAAAAAATCAAATAGTTATCGGCTCTATTTATATATTTGTCAAATATTTATTGAGCCAATAATATGCCTAAGCACTGTGCTATGAAAAAAGGATGTGAAAAAGATAGTTTATGTAATGGAGGAGGTTCTTTTTTTAATCCTCACCTGCTTTTTTATTGGTTTTATAGGACACATTTGTAACCTGTGAGAGGAAGAGAGAGAAACATTGATGTGAGAGTGAAACATCGATCGGTTGCCTCCTGTGTACAACTCAACCAGGGATGGAACCCAAAACCTGGGTATGTGCCCTGACAGGGAATTGAACCCAAGATCTTTCATGTACCAATGTCACTCCAACCGTTTGAGCCACACCAGCCAGGGCTGATTCATTCATTTTTGACAGTTGAGCACCTACAGTGTACCAGGCTCCATGCTAGAGGTACCCATGAGCTGTACAACCAGGACCTGTCCTGGACCCTCAGTCATAGGGAGATGGGCTCAGGTGTGGTGGAAGCACGGATGGAGGTTAGGTCTAAGCAGAGGCCCAGATTAATTAGACATGGGAGGAGCATGGGCAGAGTTCTCACAGGTGAGAAGAAGGCAGAGAGTCCATTGTAACTGCAGAGTGTAAGAGGCAGGAGGCTGAGAGCACAGGCAACAAAGATAAGATGGGGCCTGTTGATTCGTGGAAGGTTCTGCAAACCAGCAGTTTGAACTTTATCCTGAGAGGAATAGAAACAAACAGTATTGTTTTTAAATTTTAATTCAAGTCTCTCCCTGAAGGTGTTTGCGCCTGGAAGCAGTGTGGTCAGATGTGCAGTTTTAAAAGATGACTGTGGCTGCAGGCCAGAGGGATCAAAGAGATGAGGTGAGGGGAGAGGTGGTGGCTGTCACCGAGGATGCTGGGCCCTGAGCTGGGATGACAGCAGGTGAATTTGAGAACTGTTAGGTCCACAGCGGTTCTCAACCTGTGGGTCCGACCCCTTTGGCGGTCGAACGACCCTTTCCCAGGGGTCGCCTAAGACCATCCTGAATATCAGATATTTACATTACGATTCATAACAGTAGCAACATTACAGTTATGAAGTAGCAACGAAAATAATTTTATGGTTGGGTCACAACATGAGGAACTGTATTTAAAGGGCAAGGAGGTTGAGAACCACTGTGTTAGGAGGTAGGATGAGCAAGTGCAGAGGGGCCGAGTCAGGGGAGCTGCCCAGGTTTCTGGCTGGGGCAGTGGGTCGGTAAATGGCATGGCATTCACTGGGATAGGGCAGCCAGGAGAAGGAGCAGGTTGGGGGTGAGGGAGAGAGATGAGTTCAGGTTTGGATATGTGCCTGTGGCACAGCTGAGTACGTGGATATGTGGGTCTGAAGCTCTGGAAGGAGTTGCAAGTGTGGACAGAGGGCTGGAGATGGAGCCATGGGAGTGGACTGTTGTCAGGGAAAGAAGAGGAGCGTTTCCACCCCAAAAAGAGGCCAGAGAAGTGGGAGGCAATCCCTGAAGCCAGGAGAGAGCATCCCCAGACGAAGCCAGCAGTGGTCAACAGTGGAGCCAAGTGCCCACTTCAGGCTGGGAGTGTGGTGAAAAGAGCCTGAACTTTGAGTCCCGGCCCATAGCTTCAAACGCTGGGACTTAGGACACATTTGTAACCTGTGTGAGCTCTAGTTTCATTTGCCGAATGGGTTTAAACACCTAGCTCTTAAGTGTTGTGAGATTTTTGAGGTGGTGGGTGTAGGTGCCTTGCCCAGTGCTGCTCTGGGAGCACGGTGGAGGGTGGGTTGGCACAGTTAGGGCTGGAGAATGCCCAGGAGGCCACCAGGATGGATCGGTGGGGGCAGACTCTGGGTGAGGGGTCATCAGCAGGGCTTGGTCATGAAGCAGTAGATAGACTGAGGAGTCTTATAAATTTCCCATGGGATAAGTCGTCGTGGATTGGAGAGGAGGCAAGTGTGTGGAGAACTGTTGGCTGAGTTCCCATGTTGGAATGTTGAGTTTGAGATGCCTGTGTGCAATGGGAGGTGGAGGGGGCGTGGGAATATCGGTGTCTGGACCGAGGCTCCTGGGCTGGAGGTGTGGGGGGGGGTGTGGGCGTGGGCAGGGTGAGGTTGCCCTAAGAGGCTGCAGCTGGAGGAGATAAGAGGAACAGCAACATCTGCAGGCAGGCTGAGGGGAAGGAGACACAGCAGGGCAGCCGGAAGAAGAGAGAGAATCCCAAACTGAGAGGGGAGGCCATCAGCCATCTCAGATGCACCAGAGAAGCCACGTAAGAAACAGATAAAGACGGGAATGGGGTCCTGGGTTGCAGTGGGTCCTTGGCAAGCTGACAGGGCAGCTTAGTGGACAAGCCTTGGCTGGATGGCAGGTGATGGTGGGGGCCTGCGGGGTGAAGAGGGAGAGGAGATGGCTGGCCGTGGAGCTGGGAAGCTGGGGCTTGTGAGCTTGTTTCCAGGCAGCGGAGAGGATGCCACTGGAACGGAGAGGCCAAGAGTGCAGGGAAGAACGCTCATTGGTGCTGTGAAGTCTCGGACGAGGCTGAGAAACACAACACTTAGGGGGATGAATATGTGTTAGCAGAAGGAGCAGGACCCGCTCCTTGGGGGAGGGGCTTTGTGACACAGACCTGTAGTGCTACACATTTTGCTCCGTTTCACTGTTGTCTTACCAATTCTTTTTTTAAAAATATTTTTTTTATTGATTTCAGAGAGGAAGGGGGGCAGAGAGAGAAACATCAGTGATGAGAGAGAACTATTGATCGGCTGCCTCCTGCACATCCCACACTGGGGATCAAGCCCACAACCCAGGCATGTGCCCTGACTGGGAATCAACCACTGAGCCACTGGCCGGGTTGTCTTGCCAATTCTACCATCCTTTGATACTTTTACAAGCTGCCTGAACGTGGTTATAAACTCCACTACATACTGTCTGAACTTATCTAATCCTTTCCCCAACAATCTTTTAAGTAATTCCAGTTATAACTTTCAACTTGATCGTTTGGTGGAATGTGGAATGATTTCTCTTCTCTGGAAAGCAAATATCACAGATCATGATCATTTTGGTTACATGATGTGCATAAAGGCAACTTTATATTCATCTTAATGGTGTTTTCGGACCATGTATTCCATTTATTTAAAAATAACAAGGGGGCCCTAGCTGGTTTGGCTCAGTGGATAGAGCATAGGCCTGCAGACTGAGGGGTCCCAAGTTTGATTCCAGTCAAAGACACATGCCCAGGTTGCAGGCTCGTTCCCCAGTAGGGGGCGTGCAGGAGACAGTCGATCAGTGATTCTCATCATTGATGTTTCTATTCTCTCCCTCTCCCTTCCCCTCTGAAATCAATAAAAATATACTAAAATAAATAAATAACGAGTCGGAGAAGACCGTTTTGAATGGAGCTTGCCAAGTAATTCTTTGGAGAAGGCTTTCTTTCTTGACTGGATTTTTATTTTTCACAGTATTTTTTAATTGTTTATCTATCAAGAGCTATTCCTTAGCTCACATATTCATGTTCCATAGTTCAGGGACTCAGGTCAGTGACAAACTTCCGTGGAACACAACCCAGAGAGATTCTTGACATTCCAGAGGCACTTTGCACTCTGAAAGATGTCAGCCTTCCTCATCTCCTCAAAATCTTTCATGGGATCGTAATTTCTGTAGAAATCTGCATATGTCTTCTTTCTTGGTTCAGCCACAGCACACTTACAGCAAGCTGCAACCCCGGGGATGCAGTGATCGCTCCAACAATATGAATCGCAGACGTGTGGCCAGAAGGCTGCGCAGCTGAGGTTTTGTCAAAGCACTGGAAGGCCTGCTCGTCCTACTCATCTTAACACCAGCAGCGTCCTTCCTGATGGGGAAATGGGGGGCCCCTGATTGGATTTGTGCAAGTGACTTTTCACAACCCCGTGTGACCGAGACTGGATCCTGGGTCATGCTGTGAGGGCTCTGCAGCTTGCCTGGGGGAGGACATTTAGTTTTTGATGGGTTGCTACCCTTCTGGGTGGTGCCTCTGGATTCATTGGTGTGTGTGACAGTCCTGGCTTAGAGGAGAGCCAGCAAAACCAGCACAGGCCACTGGGCTACCGCATCCTCAGCCAGCTGCGTAGGTCTCAGAGAGATGGGTAGGTGTCAGGAAAGGGGAAAGTTTTAAATGAAGGAAACCCATAGGTTTCACAGGAAGTGGCGTCTATGGTCTTACACTGTGGCCGAGCTTAAGGTTTCATTTCCTTTGTCTTGTTCCCATAAGCATCTGCAGGCCCTGCGGCCGGGTGGCCTGGAAACCAGCCGTTCAGAGTCCAAACACTGGACTCTGTGTTCAGACGGTTTTGCTTTTGTGAAGATAAGGAGATGGCCAATCATTTTTATTGTGGGGACACAGATGAAATAGACATGTCGCCCAGTAGGAGCCAAGTTATCAATATGGAGACCAGAGAGCTCCCCTGCCGTGTACTATGATCTCAACAACCTTGCAGCAACCCCCCCCACCCCCCCTCCCCTTCACTACTGGCTGTGCTTTTTCCTTCTCCCGAGCATGAAGCCAGTAGAGGGCGCCACCAGGTGGTTTCTAGGAGATCCTTCCACTGGTGAGGCTGCCTCCGCTGACAGCGTTCTCTTGCCCTGCAGTTGCACCCGGTGATCAAGGCTTTCCTGTGCGGCTCCATCAGTGGCACCTGCTCTACCCTCCTTTTCCAGCCCCTGGATCTCCTTAAAACGCGCCTGCAGACGCTCCAGCCCTCGGACCATGGGTAAGGCCTGCTGCCCCCCATTTCCCTGAGGAACTGGTCTCAGAACCTCTCTCTGGCCCAGGAGCACCTGTACCGTGTGAAGTCCACCTCCATTCTGTTGGCTGCTGGCTGTTGGAAGCAGGCCAGGCCCTACCTTCATGGGTTTTGTGTATATTCTTCTCTGTGAATATTTTTTTACATTAATTAGTGCAATTGATGTAATTTAATGTTGATTGAACAGGGCCCTGCCCTGAGCAGCTTCCTGGATCTGCCTGGGTGACATTTGCATGTTATTGTGCTAGCCCGTCGTGTCCCTGTGCTGCCAGTATGGAGTGTCTTCCTTGCTTCCCCGCATTGGGTTCAGCACCGTGGGCAGTGTACTAATATGTATGAACTGCAAGGATATAAATCAGGTTATTCCATTGTTTGTAGGATGACTGGACAGATGAACATGTAAGTGTCAAATCATGACACTTAAGAACTCCGAGATTCCAAGACGCACTGTAGATTCTAAGTGCCCTGAAGGGTCCACGCAGAGGAGTCTTGGAGCAGGGAGTTCCCCATGCGGATGTGGTCTGTGACTTTCCCTCCCTGTTGTCTGCCCCCAGATCCAGGCGCGTCGGGATGCTCACTCTGCTGCTGCAGGTGGTCCGCACCGAGAGTCTCCTGGGCCTGTGGAAAGGGATGTCCCCTGTAAGCTGCCTTTTGGACCTTCTCTTGCACCCTCTCCTTCATAACCATTTCTCATCTACCCCACGTATCCTCCTTTAAGCAAACGGGAGAGGTGGGAGTGGTGGGAGGACCTGCATGGTCTTCCTGCCTGTCTCGCTGTTGCTCCCTTTCTGTGTAAGGGCTGGGAGACATGCACCTGTACACTAACAAGGTCTGATGCACCTGTACACTAACAAGGTCTAGTGCGCCTGTACACTAACAAGGTCTAGTGCGCCTGTACACTAACAAGGTCTAGTGCGCCTGTGCACTAACAAGGTCTAGTGCGCCTGTATACTAACTAGGTCTGCGCCTGTACTCTAACAAGGTCTAGTGCACCTGTACACTATCAACGTCTAGTGCGCCTGTACACTAACAAGGTCTAGTGCGCCTGTACACTAACAAGCTAGTGCGCCTGTACACTAACAAGCTAGTGCAGCTTCTACCTCACTCCCCTCCTCGGGTGGAGGGTAACTCTGAGGCATGTCCTCCACCTATGTCCAGAGTTCCCCAAAGGGATTCCGTTGCTCATGGGAGTAACTGATAACACTCCCTCTGTTGACCGTCTTCCCTCTCTCAACCAACTGCTTGCATGCAGATCCTGGGTCCTTTGGGGAAACCCAGCTAAGACAGTATCTGATAGAGCCCGTCTTTGATTTCTTTCCTCCTCCAACTCTTACCACCACCACCCCCCTTCCCTGCAGTCTATTGTGAGGTGTGTCCCTGGTGTTGGAATCTACTTCGGGACTCTCTACTCTCTGAAGCAATACTTCCTGCGAGGCCATCCCCCCACTGCCATGGAGTCCGTCATGCTGGGGGTGGGCTCTCGCTCGGTCGCAGGGGTCTGCATGTCGCCTATCACTGTGATCAAGACGCGTTATGAGGTGAGTTTGACCACTTTAGGCCCTCAGGGTGGGTAAACAGAGGCCTGAAGCTCCTTGAGTCCAGTGGCCACTGATGTCACCTCCCAGAGAACCCATTTGAGTATTCAGGCCAAGCCATGTGTGAGCCAAGGCCCCAGTGCCCTGGTAAGGCCACCCACCCTGCAGTTGGCTTGCTTCAGTGCTCGCACCCAGGGCCACTGTGCGAGCCCCTGTTCTGTGCTTCCTTTGCAGAGCGGGAAGTACGGCTATGAGAGCATCTACGCAGCCCTGCGGAGCATCTACCGCAGCGAGGGCCACCGGGGCCTCTTCAGTGGCCTGACGGCGACACTCCTGCGTGATGCCCCCTTTTCTGGAATCTACCTAATGTTTTACAACCAGACCAAAGCCATGGTGCCCCATGGTACGGGTAAAGGAAGGTGTGGTGGGGAAAGGTCTCCCGAAACGCGTTCTCACCACTTTCTCTGCGACTGTGAAACTGTTCATTGCTCTTAGCAGCTCCAGATCCTCAGCAGAGTTTTAAGAACTGAGCCAGGGCCAGGCGCAGGGGTGCAGTGGGCAGCACAGATGTGGCCTCTGCTCTCTCACGTGCAGCCTTTGGAAAGGGGTGTACTGTAATTCTTGGTGGGGGATGGGGCAGAACAGAGCACTTCTCCATAGGCCCTTAAGAATACTTCCTAAATTTGCCTGATTCTAAGATTGCAAGAGGACCATGTAAGTGATATTGTGTCCCAAGTACTTTAACATCGGGAAGCTCATGACATTAGTCTGACACATTGTGGGTAATGTTAACTTTTTATCATGTGGATAAGGTTGCATCTCCATTGAAAACTCTATTATCATTATTATTATTATTATTATTATTATTATTATTTTGTAATTTGTATCTCTGTGGGGAGATACTTTGAAACTACATAAATCCATATAAAACTTCCCGTTCCCTTCATCCCTATGTTTGAGCATTAGTCATTGGTTCTTGTTGAATCAATTATGATGATTGTAAAAAGGTGAATTTTCACTCCATCAACACTTATTAGTTATACCTTTAAATTTTTTAATTCTTAACTTTGTTTGAATCCAGGACCTTCTGGCTATGGGGAAAAATTAGTGAGCAACTTGGCATTGATACTTATAAGATGAATGAGATTTATTTACAACTGAATGTTCCCTCTGTCCTATTTCAGACCAGTTGGATGCAACCCTTATTCCTGTTGTAAATTTCAGCTGTGGGATATTTGCTGGTGTTCTGGCCTCACTGGTGACTCAGCCTGCAGATGTTATCAAAACTCATATGCAGCTCTCCCCAGTGAAATTTCGGTGGATTGGCCAGGCAGTGACAATCATCTTCAAAGTAAGGCTGTACAATCAGTATTTGTTCTTATTGTGCTTAAGGCACTCTCTCTAGAGTAGCAGTAGCCCTTATCCTTTACCTAGTAGAATCACCTGGGGAGCTTTTATTTTTTTATTTTTATTTTTTTTAAATATATTTTATTGACTTTTACAGAGAGGAAGGGAGAGGGATAGAGACTTAGAAACATTGATGAGAGAGAAACATCAATCAGTTGCCTCCTGCACGCCCCCTACTGGGGATGTGCCTGCAACCAAGGTACATGCCCTTGACCAGAATCGAACCTGGAGCCCTTCAGTCCGCAGGCCGACGCTCTATCCACTGAGCCAAACCAGTCAGGGCACTGGGGAGCTTTTAAAAATCCCCACACCTGGGCTGATTACAGCAGAATTTCTGGGGGGTGAAACCCAGGTATCAGAATTTTAAGTTCCCCAGTGGTTCCAATGTGTTGCCAAGTTTGAGAGCCACTGCTGAAAACCTGTGGTCAGTGGTTTGTTTGTTTGTTTGTTTGTTTGTTTGTTTTCCAGGGGCCCTATATTAGAACAACCTGTGATATTTGTTAAGCATGTAGATCAGGGGTCCTCAAACTTTTTAAACAGGGGGCCAGTTCACTGTCCCCCCTCAGACCGTTGGAGGGCCGGACTATAGTTTAAAAAAAAACTATGAACAAATTCCTATGCACACTGCACATATCTTATTTTGAAGTAAAAAAACAAAACGGGAACAAATACAATATTTGTATTTGCATGTGGCCCGCGGGCCATAGTTTGAGGACCCCTGATGTAGATTGTAGGGTTCTACCCCAGACCTATTGAATCAGGTGATCTGGGGGGACTTGTCAAGGACCCAGGAGGAAATATAGTCAGAAAAAACCCACAAGCACATTTTGTTTCTCGCATTTGCTCTTATACAAATGGTGTTACTGAAGACAACAAGCACAGTAGACATAAATGCTTTGAAGGACTATCTAAAGCCACTGAGTTGGCCCTTGGGGAAACATGTACTGTTATCACCCACCAGATACTCGTTTGCGGTAAATTTATCACCTGTATCTTTAGATTTTTCTGTACTTCTCAACTTCTCTATGCAGCAGAGGAAACCTGAGCATACGCATCAAGTTCCACCCTAGATAAAAGCAGATATTTCTGAATCTGATCTTATCTTCACACTGCTTAGGTTGCCTGCTTCCTTCTTCTCTATACCTAAAGTCACATAGTCTGAA